AGCGTTATTTTTGAACCCATGGTGTGCTTGCAGTTCTTCACAGTCACCGACATGCACACAAACAAGCATCACACTCAAGCATCACCCTCTTGCAAACTTCCACAACAGGTATCACAGCAAATGCAGGGCCGTTAGCACCTCCCTATATGATCAAAGGCTAATAGAGCCCAACTCGCTGTAATAATTTCACAAGCGGACCTTTGGAAGAACACCTGGCTAAAATAGCTGGGTGTCTTTTTCTGGCCAGATAGGAGAGAGGACACCCATAGCGTCCCCATTCCTGACTCAGAGCCAAACCTGACGACACCGAACAGTTAAGGCCTTACTCTTCACACATACATGCACAGGAATAGACCATGAGCTCACAGCAGCCTGTTCCACTGTCCCAGGTGCTTCAGTCCACGGTGGTCACCTTGAGTTATTAATCAGTCTTAAAAAAAAAAACTGCTGACAGTGCATAGGACATGACAGTGATGTCATACAGCAAGTTAAGCAGTAGAACAGATTCTTTCTTTTTAAGGTCAGATTGTGTTTCTGGTTTTGTAATAAATTTCTTCATTTTTGGGATCAGAACCCCTTTATACCTCAGCTGGACACCTAGGCAAATTCTTGAAGCTGCAGTGTTTTTAGGAATGGAACACTTGGGCAGAAGGCCTTCATTAATGGTTAAATAACTGAGTCTCAGCAAGTTTCTCTAGATATGAAATGCATTATTCTAACCACTCTGAATGACTTTATTTACATCATAAAGATTTAATCATGCAAACTGTAATCACATTTTGAAAACAAATGCTTAAATACACCTTTAAATGTTCGATCAACGGAAGAATTGGTTAGATTCATGTTTTATTGCTTTGACAAAATAAAGGCTGCATTCTCCTGGTTTCATTGATATTCATTGATAATAAACTTTTTAAGAAACATCTTACCTTGTAAGTCTACCATGCTAACCCTTCATCAATGGTTGGTTTCTGCTGACCACTGAGATCCACCTCCCCTGATACCCTCTGACTGACCCTTATACCAGAGCCACACATTCTAACATGCCACTGCCATGTCAGTATCAATGCTGTTCTGAGAATGGTCCAAAACTCAAATAATATGGCCCTGTGGTCAGAAACTGACCAATGATGAATGGGGTACAAGGGGGCTGACAAATGTACATTGTAAAAGGCCAGTGAATACAAGAACAAAGAATCTATTAAAGTGGATGATGAGTGTACTTTTGTAAATCACAGGATACTTTACTGTCACATAGACACTCTGACTGCCATACCAGCGCAATTAACCCATATAACCCATAACCCATTCTAAAGCATCCAGCTATGATGTTCCTGATCAAATGTCTATGGTACAAAGGGCTTTGTCGGTTCATTCTAATTCGGGGGGGCAGCTCACCGGTCACATGCATTGTGTTCTAATTGGCCGTTATGAGTGGGAGGTGTTTTTAGAGGCATGCTAAATGTAGTTTAGCAGCATGATTCACGCTCATTACACAATGACCTTCTGATTTTCATAGATACAGGTCAGAGCAGTTTAATCTGACTGACCATGGCGTGGACGACCATCCAGAGAACAACTTCCAAAGGCTTTTTTTTTGCTGTTGAGGTTTTCCTGCTTAAAGTTTGAACCTCGTGTCAGTGATCTGAGCTCAGTTTATCAGAGAACTGGCTCCAAATCAACACTTCCTCATCATTTCCTTTGTTTAGTATGCAGCTTTGCTTTAGCATGTCAGTGTGAAAGTCTGTCACATTCTCTCCGAGATGTTGCTGACTCATCAAAAGTTCAGAATGCGTCTTCTCACAAATCAGTCTAACAAAGTACTGCAACAAAACCAACTTTCCAGGCCTTCAGGAATCAGAATAAGATCTACAAAATGACACAAACTGAATGATTGTGCAGCAATTACAAAGGATTCTTTCAGTGACACCATAGAAGAACCACTTTCGATTCCTCACATCATGTTTGACAGATTTGTGGGTCCAAAGAAGCCTTAAAAGGTTTGAAGAACCTTCACGTAATTGAGATGTTCTGTTCTAATTTAAGTGTTTGTCCTAGAACCTTCATATTATATGGAGGTTCTTTAAACTTTAAAAAAGGTTCTTCACATTTTCATTTACAAAAATGGTTTTCTAATGAACAGTCCAGTGAAAGGTTCTTTAGGGAGCCAACAGTGGTTCTTCTATGGCAGGCTGCCCAAAGAGTGGCCCGTGAGGGCATTTAAAGGGCCCACCAGACAGTTTAACTCCACCAACCTCACCCAATGAGAGAACAAACATCTTTATATTCTATATATCACTGTTGTCGGAACAAAACCTTGTATCTCCAAAATGGTAACTTTACAGGAGATGGAAAAAACGTACTTTACTTTTAATCTAAGTCAATGGAACCAGATTTTTTTCTTTTGATCAATTCATCATGAAATTGATACAAAAGGTAGTGAGTAATGCTATAAAATACATTTTTAAAAACTTGATTGGAATGCCTACTGTTTTTATTAGTATATTATTATGTCTTCCTGGCCATCGGCCCACCACAAACATTGTACTTTGGCCCCCCAAGACATAAAGTTTGGGCACCCCTGTTCTATGGCATCAGTCCAACCCCCTTCTGGCACCCTTATTTTTAAAAGTATAATCTAGGGATTATAGAGGACATTACACTTTTAAAAATATGCCTCCCCTCCTTCTCTCTCTCTCTCTCTCTCTCTCTCTCTCTCTCTCTCTCGCACACACACAAACACAAACACACACACACACACACACAAAACACCACTTCTTGGCCTTGTTAGCTTTAAGGGAACAAAAGCCTATGCTCCGAGGGGCTAAAGTTTAAGAAGAAATAAAAATGTCAGAGAAAGGAGATTAGCCTAATTTAGGATTTAAGCATAAACATCATAATTGTTCCCTCCGTTCCCGGTGAAAACAACAGTTTGGGTTAGCTAATTCTAATAGTTTCAATTCCAGGAGGGATTTGGGTCTATTCTGCCACCAGCTTGCATTACTGTAAAGGTCTCTTAGGAATGTAACAACACTGGAGGCTTTGGTGCGATATATCCCCACAGCCAGCGCTAAAGGTGCTGTTTGCTTAAGGGATTGGCTTTTGATCATTTGATCTAAGTCGTCTGTTTCATGCCAGAGACATCCCAGCACTACGCTTTTACTTCCTGGATCCCAAGGGCTTGACCTAGGTAAGACAATCAGTGAGCAGCAGCCAGACTCCAAAATCTGCTCCTGCTCAACCACATCTGATTCAGCTCATCAGTTAATGATGATCCTATTTATATGGAACAAGTGTTGCTGCAAAGCAACTTTGCAGACGTGCTTGTAGGTTTAGTAGGTGCGTTTGAGCAGGGAAATCACCAAACTGTGCTGGACACTGGCCCTCAGACTGGGCCTACTTAATGTAGGCCATTATGCTGGAGTTGAGATAATATAGCAAAAGCCTGCCCACATGCAATGGATTCTTCTGCCCATCGTGAAGCGGTCAGGTAGTGAGTGAAAGTAGATACTGAGCAGTGTTTAGACTTGCACTAAGGTTCAGTTCCTCATCTGTAAACACAAACTTGCACATTCAAAACATTGACAGCTCCAGCACAGGCCTAGAGCAAAGAGAGGTTCTGTAAGAGTGAGGGTAAAAGTGCTTGTAGGGAATATATGTAAGCCTTATTGTGATGATACAGTGATGATATTGTAATGATGATGATGATGGTGTTGCTGTTGTATCGATAGTCATAGTCATTGATAGTGGTGGCAGTGATTGTGATGATGGTGATTACAACATTGATGGCTGATAATGGTGTTGACTATGATATTGAAGATGATGATGATGATGATGATGATGATGATGATGATGATTATTGAGATGCTGCTGCAGCTGATGATGATGATGGTGACGTGATGGTAATGATTGTATCGTTACTGACAACACAATGATGATAATTCTGTTGTTACTGATGATGATTATTATGGCGATGATGCAGTGACAATACTGTGATGATGATGATGATGATGATGGTGATGCTATTGTATTAATAATCATAATAAAGTGGTGTCAGTGATTGTGTTGATGATGCTGATGGTAATGATGATGTGGTGATGGCAGTGATGATTGTGGTGATTATGATATTGATAGTGGTCATGGCAATGCTAATAATGATGTTAAATATGATACTGAAGATGATGGTGATAATTAAGATGCTGCTGCTGCAGCTGATGATGATGATGATGATGATGATGGTGATAGCAATGAGTTTGTCATTACTGGCAACACAATGATGATGATGATGATGATGACTGTGTTGTTACTGACCATGATGATTATGTTGATGATACAGTGATGACAGTGTAATGATGATGATGTTGTATTGATGATCACGATACAGTGATGGCAGTGATTGTGATGATGGTGAAGGTAGTGATGATGGCAGTGATTATGATGTTGATGATGATGGTGGTGATAAAGATGAAGATGATGACAATGATGATGGCAATGATGTTATGTAATGATGATAATGATGCAGTATTAGCAGTGATTGTGATGATGGGGGTGATATTAGTAATGACAGCAGTGATGACTGTGGTGATGGTGGTAGTGATTATGATGATGATGATGATGATGATGTGGTGGTGATAGTAATGATTGTGGTGTTGGTGATGATGGCAGTGATGACTGTGGTTAGGATAGCAATAATTGTACTGCTGATGATGATGATGATCATGGCAATGACGGTGACAATGATAAAGGCCGTGATGAAGATGGTGGTGATTATGATGGTGATGATGGTAATGACTGTGTACACATCATTCATCACTTCTTAAACTGACTTAAAATGCTGCACTTTTAGCCACAGCTGGGACTCTGTCTGCTTTACAGGTGAACCCCGAGGGGCCCGCTAGCCCTGCTCTCTCTCTTTCGCGCGCTCTCTCTCTCTCTTCTTTTCGCTCCCACCCTCAACACAGCTCGCGCTCTTCAACCCTGCTCTGTTTGGTCTCGCGCACACCGGTGGCTGCTCTAGTGGCAGAGCGCAGGGGGCTTCACTCTTCTCCTCCTTCACCAGCCACGGCCAAGCGTGCGCACTCAGACAACGACCAGGGTCAGGCGCGTGCTCTCCGCGAAGCATCCTGAGGAGGTGGGAGAACACAGAAAGACAGCGAGAAACAGAGAGAGAGAGAGAGAGAGAGAGAGAGAGAGATACTCACGCACACACACGCGCACACACACACGCGCACACACACACACACAGAGAAGGAAGAGCAGGGAGAGCTCTCCAGCGTCTGGCTCGGATTATTTCTGCTGCCTCTGCCAGCTCGCGGGGAATACTTTTTAAATGGCACGCGCTAGCACTCGGCCAGATCGGAGCTACTGCTCGGTGGAGCGCGCATCGCCCGCGCGCAGCGCCGCGTCTGGCCGGCCGTGATGCCCGCGCGCTGCTGAGAGCGCTGGACACATGTGTCTCCGTTTCTCTTCTTGTCCGCCGTAACCGAGGATAATAATCTCCTGCCATGCCCGCCACAACCGCCATGCACGCGGGCTCCAAGCCTAACGCCACTCTCCGGAGTCCCGCCGGATCCGCCGCCGGCACGGGCAGCGCGAGCTCGGCGGACGGCGCTCGCACTTCCTCGCGGCTCTACTGCGCCTTCATCATCCTGCTCCTCATCCTCACGCCGCGCGTGGACTCGTCCTGGTGGTGAGTCTGTCTCTCTCTCTCTCTCTCTCTCTCTCTCTCTCTCTGTTTCTCTCTCTCTCAGTTGAAACTGTACTGAGTTTATTCTTTGGTACTTTTACTCATCTCTTATTGGACGATGCATGTTTGAATAAAACTCTCTCTCTCTCTCTCTCTCTCTCTCTCTCTCTCTCTAACAGTTGAAACCGTACTGAGTTTAATCTTTGGTACTTTTACTCATCTCGCTCGCCTTACTGGATAATACATCCATGCTCTCTCTCTCTCTCTCTCTCTCTCTCTCTCTCTCTCTCTCTCTCTCTCTCTCTCTCCTTTTAAATGTCACTAAAGCAGAGTAAAGAAGTCTCCTTTTTGAGCTGTAACATGGCAACGTGCATCATTTCATTTTTTCCTGATATATTCACTCTTACCGATACAAACAACATTTGTTTTCATTGCATTAAATTAGCATTAAAATACCTTATTAAAGATCGTTCAGCAAACAAACTCCTACTCGTGTTTGCCAGCGCGCGCTGTCAGGAAACAAGCTTACACAGAATGGAAAAATTGCATGCATTCATATTCAAAGAGTACATTTTCCACCATCATGCATTAAAATGTGAAACATGCACCGTTTGCGGTGAGCAGGCAGGCACGCGCACGGTCCTGCCGGGCGCGAGGTATTCAGCTTTGACTTTGATGAAAGCGCGCGACCACAGTTAACTCTTCATTTGAACGCTGAAGTGACTGAGCAGATTGGTGTTGTAGATAGTAAAGACGAACAGCGGGCTGTTTGTGCTCTCTCTGCTCTCTCTGCTGAAGGTGCTGCAGTTCTCTATCAGAGTTATAGGCTCTAGTTTTTTCTGACGGCTCTGTGTTTCACTGCCAGCCAACTCAGCAACGGTCTAATAGAGAAATAAAGGAAGCCTAATAAGTGTAATCTGTGTCAGACCTGCTGGCTTCATACACACATTCAGTCAGCTCAGCTGGAGTCCTCAACAGTGAGAGGCACCACCATCATTAGTACAACTCTCTTTCTCTCTCTCTCTCTCTCTCTCTCTCTGTATTTCTCGTCTCTCTCTCTCTCTCTCTCTCTCTCTCTCTCTCTCTCTCTCTCTCTCTGTACTTCTCGTCTCTCTCTCTCTCTCTCTCTCTTTTTCTCTGTCTCTCTCTCTCTGTCTGTCTGTCTGTCTCGCTGTCTCTCACTCTCTCTCTCTCCATCCATTTCCTTCTTTCTCTCTGTTCATATCTGTCTCCTTTCTCTCTGTCTATATCTGCCTCTTTCTCTTCTGTTTTTCTCTTCCTCTCTCTCACACTCTCTTTGTCTCTGTCTCTATCCCTCTCCCTCTCTCTGTCGTTCTTTTTCCTCTCTCTCCTTCTCCTTCTTTCTCTTTCTGTCTTTCTCCTTTTTCTCCCTCTCCTCCTTCATTCTGCCTCTTTTTCTCACCCCCTTTCTGTCTCTTCTCTTCTCTTCTCTTCTCTTCTCTTCTCTTCTATTTTTCTCACTCTCCCCTCTCTCACCCCTTTTCCTCTTTTTCTCTTATCATCTTCTCCCTCTCCCTCTCTGTCTCTCTCCCCTTCTTCTCTTTTTGTCTTCTCTTCTCTTCTTTTCTCTTCTCTTTTCTTTTTCTCACTCTCCCCTCTCTCTCCCCTTTTCCTCTTTTTCTCATATCTTCTTCTCACTTTCCCTCTCTGTCTCTCTCCCCTTCCCCTCTTTTTCTCTTCTCTTCTCTTCTCTTCTCTCTGCTTTTTCTCACTCCCCCTCTCTCTTTCCTCCTCTCCCTTTTTGTCATCTGTCTCCTTTCTCTATCTCTGTCTTACTCTCCCTTTCTCCCTCTTTAACTTCCTCTCTATGTCCCTCGCTCTTTCTCTCTTTTTGTCTCTCTCTATCCTCTTTTTCTCTTCTCTTTTCTCTCATGCTCTGAATTTCTCCTCTTCTTCTATTTTCTTCCCTCTCTTCTCACTTTCTTTCACTCTCTTTCTCTCTGGCTCACTCATACAGATGTGTCTTTTCATACTGTGAATTAAAATGCATGTGTGTCTTAGAAGGAATTAAGAAGTATATCACACATAGATCTATATCAGTGAGCATCTATGCATTTCTGTAAAGCTCATTTCCACAGAGCTGAAGTTTGCACAGCAGCGAGAGAGAAAGAGGTTCAGATAGAGTGGAGGATCAGAAAGCCAAGTCCTTTGTCACTATTAAGTTGTAATAAGTCAGCTGACATCGCCAATAAGAGACACTGACCAAAGATAGAGAGGAGAGGTCAAAGGATGTCTCTCTCTCTCTCTTTCTCTCTCTCTCGCTGTCTGTCTTCCCCCTCTGACTAATCCCCTCATCCATCACCCTAAGCAGACAGAGGGCTCCTCTTAAGCTACTGAGCCGCCTGTTAGTGTCTCATATAAGTGAACTTACTCGCTCACTCTCTCGCGCTCTCTCTCTCTCTCTCTCTCTCTCTCTCTCTCCCCCCCTCCCTTTCTCTGTCCCTCTCCCTGACTTTTTAAACTTTTTTAGCTGTGAGAAGATCATGCAGATAATACAGATAATAGAGTTACAGGAGATCCACCTATAAGATCGAGGGGCTTTGAGATCAGACCACCAATTTAAGACTTTATCTTGAATACTAGAAGTCAATATTAGTAGCCAACAACTGGCATGACACAAATAACATCATAAATTATGACACAGTGATCTCATGTAATTGAAGTGTTTGCAGCTAGTAGTAGTAGATCTAACTGAAATACAATAGGCTGAGAACTTCAGTTAACCATATACATCTAGGCCAGGGGTCGGCAACATGCAGCTCTTTTGCTGCCTTGTTGCAGGTCCACAGCAGAATCAGATTTTTAGGTAAAATAAAATAATACTCCTTTGCAGTAAAATAAAGCTCTGCTGATCGTTCAAACATTGGAGTTAATATATAAATGATAATTCGCCAACCTTTAACCCTGAAGGTCAGTGTGCAGACTGATGGTCACCATAGCAACGACAACAATCTCGCCTAGCTAGTAGCTAACGAAAAGGCAAAGAGAAAGAATTAAGACGAACATCGATAATTTGGAGACAAATCGACTTATTTGCCTTTATAAGCTCTCCAGCTGGTTTCCTGATACGTTTAATCTGCAACGAGAAACTGACAAAAAAAATAAAGCTGAAGTCAGCTTCTTGTTTGAACTGTCCCATTCCACCTTAAATGGTGCAGCAATTACATTCTGGAACTTCAGGGACCATTTAAGGTGGAATGGGTTTGAGTTGCTGACCCCTGGCCTAGCCTAACATACACAATATTATTTCTGCATTAGAAGGAATTAAAAAATACAAAAGGCATAATGAATTAGCTAGAATGTCTGTGCATCACCTTGCAGAGCTCCAAAGCAAATCTGTATGTTCAAGTACAGTACTGTGTAAAAGTCAAAGGCTGCCCTTCATTTTTTTGAATCCCAGTCAAAAGAACAAATCAATCATTTTCCAAGAGATATTTGTGAAGAGATAAGATATTAGATAATCCATTAGGGGAAAAGAAGGGGAAAGTCAAAGAAAACAAAAAATAGTAGTGTTCTTTGAAAAATGGACTGGCCACCCCAGAGTCCAGACCTCAACATCACTGAATGTGTACAATCAACTTCTAAGACTGAACTTTGGAGGTGTGTAAAAATATTCCTGCTGATTTTCTTTGATTAACTGAAAACAAGTTTTTCTCGAAAAGAAGAGCCTTTTCTTATCTCATTTGTCAAAGAGGTAACTCATACTGATGTTTTGAATGAATCAGGTCAGGGGCAGAGTGAGTTTAGCTTTTCTCTTCTTCTCTCTCCTTATTTATATGCAATCCTATGAAATTGCTCCCAGTCTTGACGATACCTCAAAAGGCTTTGTGAGATGGGGTTGAGCAAGTATGCATATAAAAGAACTTTAGCTAGTGTCAGCTAACTTTCTAAGTATTGCTTACATGTTGGACAACATTTTTCTTAGAAACTCACTGTTGTGCAAGAAGTACCAAGAATGTTTTTTTTTGACTAACATATTTGGAGAACCTTAATAAATGCTTCCATAAGTTCTTACAGTGCAACCACTGTGTTAGATTTACATAAAGCACAATATCAGCAGAAATTACAGTCTTAGGCAAAAGTCTCCAGTTGGTGATTAAGAGGGTCTGACTCTACCTGAGGGCAAGTTCATGGATGCTGAGCCAGAGACACAGGAGGACAAAAGGTTAGACCATAATTTTGGTCACAGCAAGCATATTATTCATGTGAACATTTTTACAGTAGACAAATGAGTACATGGTCTACATATTATGGGTTTTCTGGCCAGCATTAACTCTAATTACATTTTTGTTGCAAACTATTGCTGTTTTAAGTGGCCAGTTTAACTTTTCTTGTTGTCCTCCTGTTAGTGTGTTTGTGTGAGTGTGTGTGTTTTTGGCTGTCCACCCATCCCTACGAGGGGCAAATCACCACAGTCATGCATTCTTCACCCAGTCAAGCATAACCATATCCGATCCCTCACACTCTCTCACACACACATACACACACCCAGTGTAAATGACAGAATGTGTTTTTTACGGTGTGTTGTTATAGTCCTGTGGATAATGATTTACTGCAGCAGTAAAATCCCCTCTCCATCCCACCATCATCTGTGAAACCTTAGTGGGTTGTGTGAGAGATGTGTATGTGTGTGTGTGTGTGGGCTTTATACGAGGTACCACCCTCTCGGTACTACCCACCCTCAAGATATAACCATTGTAGGATTAGACTATGTGTAACAGCAACACAGATAACAGAACAGGTTCCATTTGGAATCTGCTTTAGTGGAATGATGCAGAACAGAATGCAAACACTGATCAACCTCAACTCAGTATAAAGAGAATGATTTAACTGAACTGGTCTGGTCAGAGGCACAGTTTGGGTTTCAGAGGTAAGGAGGCACTATGAGGTTGGAAATTCATTGGGATGGGGTCTACAGTGGCCCCCTAAAAAGTATTTGGGACATTTGTGCTAGGGTCAGCATTGGCTATTGCCCGGCTACAATATTTGTCCACTAAATATGCAGAGCCTGTGGTCCCAGTGGCCACTTGCCTTGGAGATTTTTCACATTTTTAATTTTCTACTATTATTGTCTTTTTGATACATTTTTTCACTATTAATAACAAAAAGGCCTAAGCGTTGTCTAAAAATAATTAGCACCATATGTTCTCATTAAACACACACAGTCCGCTGCAGCCTAGACCTAATTTCTGTGGTCTCTATATGGTCAAAAACTTGCATTTCCGAGCTCCTGCTAGTGTGGATTTCAAGGCTATTTCTTCTTTTTAAATTATGCACACAAATGCAATTTGTATACGAAAAGCACCCCCTAGTGGAAAACAGACTGCTAAACGTGTAATTGAGTGCATGTGTTGCTTTTAATACAAAGTAACAAACATTTATTTTTAAAAGAAACACTTGTATTTTTAATTAACTGAAAACCAGGCACTGAGCATGCTTGTTAATTGTAAATAAAATGCATAAACAATAAACATGTTTTTTTTTACTTTTGGCCAGGATTTATTGACTTGGTGGCAAGAGTAGCCAGTGACAATTGTTATATCTATCTATACCTGCATTTGTACCATTCTTAATATTGTATTAAGCGTTAACTGTATTATGTTAAGAAACAAAATGACAAACCAAGTGGCATTTATTTCATACTGACTGTTTCAAGACTACTTCTTTTTGGCAAAGTATTCTTTCAAAAAGTTCTGGTGTGTTTCAGATCATCATTGTCTGAGCAGTTTCCTCACAGACTTTTTAATCCAAAATGCCTTTTTATACTTCTGAGTTCATGATCCAATCAATGACTACGAGCATACCAACACCATTGCAAGACAAAGAGCCACAGACTCTCGCATTTCCACCTCTGTGCTTACAGTTCTCTTAGTGCAGTCTGGTTAGAATTCTTCTCCAGGATTTTTCCACACAAACAGTCTGCCATAAGTTTGATGTTGTCTAATTTTATTAAACATTTTTGAAGCAACCCAAAGAACTTGTTTTAATCTTATCAATGGTTAAATGGTTAAAGTGTCTGAATACTTTTTGCGGCCAAGTCACTGGTGTACTCTATTTAAAGTAGTCTTGCACTGATGCGCTGATGTCTTTGCACTGCCTACATATACAGCACATGTAATTTGTGTATTTATCATATACATGTTCTTTTGCTTCTACACAAATATTTCCTTTAGGATCCATCCATTCATTTGTCTATCTATCCTTCCATATCAGATTCATTTTTATCAATTAACCCATGTTACAATTCTGCATCTTATGAAAGTTGGGCAGCAGAAGTTGACCTGCCCTATTTGGCGACTTCCCCAGCATCCTCTAGCTAATTTTGAAAAGTGGAGGTGAGAAACCTGGATTCTTAAAAAAAAAAAGTGTAAATACTTCCCTGGTTGAAATGACACCATTGCCATAGTCTCAATCCCATTAATTCAGCAATGACATCCTATACCTAAACTTGAAAAGAAGGTAGAATTGGACTGCTCTCACTTGAGTCTCAGCCTCAGACACTCCCCGCTCACACACTCACGTGTGTCTGATATCCTTTGGCTAAGCAGGCCACAATTGTTGGGTTATTGTCAGTTCCATTCAGACTGGCTATCAGCACGTCCATGTGTACATGCTTCTGTGTAGCAGGTTTTATCAGTCTGATGGGAAACTCACTTGTGTAGTGTGCAAGTAGCTGCCTGCGGTCACTGGACTGAAAAAGGTTTGTGACGTTCACAGCACCGCATCTTTAAAAGTTATTCAAGAGTGTCCTTTGAATCAGTCAGTATCTTTTAAGTGAGGTAGAATTTTGTGTTGGGTCACATATTTTGCATGTCAGTTAAACAGCCCTTTCCTGTTAACGTGGGTGGGTTCTTGCTACCTTATGCTGTTTTTCGTGGCCAATAGGAGAGCAGTCGGCGTGTCTGGTAGTTCCCGTCACTACTGGAAAGGTTTTAGCAGAGAGCACCGCCCACTTTCGCACCCAACCAGTGAGCACCGCAAAAGGTGTGAAAGCAGCTTGCCGCACGAAAGCAGCTTTAAGGGACAAAATGCACCAGGTTCTCTGATGATAGGCAGAGTCAGGCTTGAGAGACTCTCATTCTTCTCAACTCTTTTCTTGAAAATATTCAAGTGACAGATGTACCAATTTAATCTATGCAATCTGAGTGTGAATGTGTGTGTGTGTGTGTGTGTGTGTGTGCGTGTGTGTGTGTGTGTGTGAGGGTTTTGCTGTGTTGTACAGGGACATACGTTGTGCTGTTGTATCTCAAGCTTGGTCGGAGACACAGGAGTTGTTAACAGGAATGTTCAAGATAAAGCTCATAGAGGGAAAGAGAGAGAGTCAGACAGAGACAGACAGAGTGTGTGTGTATCATGTGTATAGTTTGTGCCAGTCTCTGTTAACGGGGGCGTTAGGGGAACGGTAAACAAACGGTGGGCAGTGATGGAACGGGACATCCATAACAGGAGTGGAAACTGGAGAGCGAGAGAGAGAAAGAAAGAGAGAGAGAGACTGACTGAGGGAGCGAGAGAGGGAGGAAGCAATAGGCCCTGCTATCTCTCAGGCTTGAGTTAGATTAGTGAAGATAGCAGACACACAGCGGGTTTCTGTACGCATAAAAGCAAAAGAACTACTGCGTTTAAACACCAGTTAGAATTTCTCTATGATCTAGAATCTATGATTTCCTTTTCAACATCAGTCCTGGACTTACAGCAAAGAGGAAATTAAACACCAGCATGCTGCCATACATGCTTCTAAGGTGCATTGTTTCAAACAAAGTAAGGATCTTAAATCTTGATTATAAGACCATGTTTGTAGATATTTAATGAAAATACTTGATAAATGCTGTCCTGTGACCACCTCACATCAATTTAATTCTGTACTAATGTGCCAAGTCAATAAAAAACATTTTGCTGTTGTGCTCCCTACATGGACCACCAAAAGTATTGATAGTTATAAGAACCTGGTTTTGTTTAAATTAAGGTGGAGACTTATTTTCCTAACACCTAGGCTAGATTAAAAAGGCTAAAAAGACAGTTAACAGGCTGACCTGCTTCTCCATTAATATCTTGTGTTAGGCTTTAAATTGTAATAAGTGTTTATTTTACTGCAAAACTGCAATAAAAAATTGAAGAATGTTTTTTCTTGAATGTCTTACATGCTTCAAATGTCCTTAAGTCTTTAAGTAGCATTAAGCCTGGTGTGTGAAAACAAATATGTGGCACCATTAGCTCGATGCTAACACAATACAAGAAATTGCATTGAGACGCTAGCAGAAGTTAGCATTACTGTTGCGGTGGTGATCTGGTGAGCATTAAATACTTTTATTTTATGATACTTTTATTATTATATGACAGAAAATGTAAAAGTCAGTGAAGTGGCTGCAATAAACAATGGTTCGCGACTGAAACTCTAAATTATTTGTTGGAAGAATTGTTTATTGCTGTGATTATCACACATTTTATTGTGTACTTCAACATATTTTATGCTGTTGCTGTTTTATAAAAGCAGTAAGCCACTTGAAACTGTACAATTTAGTGATTTAACCATGGATATGAGGGTTTCATCCCTTGGTTGTGATAAAATGACAGTAATGCCTGGTCCCTCATAGCTAATTGCTTTAATAATTGATTACAACATTCCAAAATCAATGCAGTTAAATAGTCCCCTTCAGATTAATATATCAGTGCATTTTTACATCTGAGACGAGACCATTTTGGTCCAACATTTCAGTAGTGCAGTAACAACAGTATGCAGGTATTCAGGCTTTTCATTGCCAGGTTTTTTTTCACCCTGAACCTGATGTGCATGTCCAAATAAATCTTACAGTAACACTGTTGCCAAAACTTGAAAAGCACAGTCAGGATCTGGATTCTCAACCACACCTAACCTTAGCCAACCATCCACTTCAGAGTATAAGTGGAATGTTTAGTCTTTAAACTTTTAAATGCTCGTTTTAAGCCTTAAAATTGTTCGGAACATTTATGAAACATTTTCATTTTGAAATATGTTACAGTACTGTGCAGAAGTCAGAGACCACTCTTCATTTATTTAATTTCCAGTCAAAATGGCTATTAAATACAAAGTCTCCGAATAAGAGGAAAAGGGGGCTCCTAACAACCTTGCAAGACCTAGTAGACCACCAAAATTGTCTCTGTCAGATAAACAGTACTTAAAGCTTGCATCTTTGGGAGAGAGAGGAGAAAATCAAGCTCCACATTTGCTTCAGATCTGAAAACATCCACAGGTTTCTGTCCATCCTTCCACTGTGAGAAGACAAGTTAACCGAAAAAGTCAACCAAACAAAGAAGCTGCTGGTGTTCTCAGAACAATGGACTGTCCACACACACACACCACACACACACACACACACACACACATATATATATATATAAAATAATATATATATATATATATATATATATATATATATATATATATATATAATAAAACATCTTTACATTAACTTTAGAAAAGTGCTATTTAAATAAATGTTTAAACGTTTAAACGCACATTAAACATTAAGAATGCTTTTGCCTTCTCTTGTGAAGTCACTACTTTGGAATATACATGTTTTTCTTTGGTCAATGATGCTATGTTTCCTGCTTTGTCCTGCACTGGAAAATTAGTAACCTGTTCTAAATAGCTGTTTTGGCTATAAATAAAGGATGGTCTCTGACTTTTGTACATTTGTGGGTTACTGACTTAAAATTTAGTACCATTTAACCAATGCATATACAAATGTTTGAACATGTTTATGTTTTTGGCAGGTACATCGGCGCTTTGGGAGCACGAGTGATATGTGATAACGTCCCTGGCCTGGTGAATAAGCAGAGACAGCTGTGTCAGAAGTATCCAGATGTGATGCAGTCCATCAGTGAGGGGGGTAAGGAATGGATCCGCGAGTGCCAGCACCAGTTCAGACACCACCGATGGAACTGCAGCACGCTCGACCGCGACCACACCGTCTTCGGAAGAGTCATGCAGCGCAGTGAGTGTTTCTCTGTATGTGTGAGAGGGACAGATGCACAAAGAGATGAGAGAGAGAGAGAGAGAGAGAGAGAGAGAGAGATATGCAGAGGCAATGAGAGATAGCAAGTGATGGATAATGTTGGTGCTGATAGCTGGGTGAATATGACTTTCCTGACGGCAGTATCTTAGAGATTAGAGATTTGCATCCCAGAAGCTTGATTAAGCCCTACCATTTCACATAAGGTGGGCTAAGTTACCTACTTAGTAAAATCTAAAGTCATGCCTCTTTTTGCTGTTCATTCACACTCATCCAACATTGCAAAACAAGGGTATTAATATGAAATTTGTTCTTCTTTGCTGTACTTGCAGCTTCTACTCTTCTGGGAAGGTTTTACACTAGATGTTTGGAACATTGCTGTGAGGATTTGATTGCATTCAGCCACAAGCGCATTAGTTATGTCAGGTACTGATGTTGGATGATTAGTTCTGGATCAGGAACGCCGCGCCAACTCATCCCAAAGTATTCAGAGGAGCTCCATCACAACAGAGAATGTGGTTTCACGTCTCCACAGCACAGTTCTGGAGGGCTTTAAACCCATCTAGCCGACACTTGGCATTGTTCACTTTAGGCTCCAGAGTGACCCATTCTACTGAAAATGTGTACACCTGTGTCAGCAATGGGTGCATCTTATTTAGGAATCAAGTCAAGTCAAGGTTTATACATATAGTGCTTTTTACAGGCGTGGTCGCAAAGCATCTTTACAGAAAAATCCAGGTCCAAGCCCCCATGAGCAAGCCAATGGCAACAGTGGCAAGGAAAAACTCACTAAAAGTAAGAGAAAGAAACCTTGAGAGGAACCAAGACTCAAAAGGGGAACCCATCCTCCTCTGGTCAACAGTGGATAGCAAACTATAACAAAGGAGCAGTATAAACAGAGAATAAAGTCTTAACATAAGTATAAAATATTAAAATACAGAAAAGGGGAAAATTGGGTTAAGGAATGGCTTTGATTAATTAGTTCAAATCTGTGCAGCACTAGCATCAACACGAGGGTCAGGGGCATGCAGGTGAGGTTTGCCCAGTGTTGTACAGCAGGAATCACCTTAAACCAGTGTCACCAACAGTGTTTCGCAACACAGTAAACTACAACCTAGATGGTCCAAAGTTTTGCTTCATCCCAGCTCCCAGTACACCTCAACATTGTATTCAAGAATTGACTACCTGGTACAGTTGCATTGAAAGCTGTACTACACCAAAAGAGTTACGCTGTGGCAGATCAGATATTCCAATCTCTGTTGCCCTGTCTTTATATCTGTTTATCAGTGTAGACCACGCCTTTCATTTCTGCTTAAAGGTGGGACTAGAAGACAGAAACTATGAGAATCTGAGGTGGAGTTCTGGCACTACAAGGCCAAGCTCCCTGTTGAAGGACTAAAATAATAGACATATAAGTCAGGAGGAATAGAGTGGAGACAAAGTGGTAGTGGGGTGCAAAAGTGAGTGATGGACATGTATAAGAATGTAGGGTAACACTTTATTTGAAGCCTACTTGTGTATAACAATAACATAAATATGGCATAAACATGTCATGGCAGATGTCCTAATGCTGTCATAAGTTGTCATGACAGATTATATCCATTAATATAATGTTACCCTTAACTGTCATGTCAAATACCATAATGTTTGATGTCATAACAGCTAACTAGAACAGACTACAAACATTAGCGTGTGACGTATGACATCTTCAGTGACATGTTTTTGGTTATGGATCAAGTAAAGTGTTACTGAAGATTAATAAGAGGTGTTTCATGCATGGTCTTTCTTCCAAGCTATAAGTCTTTCATAACCTCACTGAAAAAGTAGAACTAGAATCCAATTCCTCCCTTTCATAACTACATAATGTGCATATTACTTTCATAGTTGTAGGTCTTAATGACTGTAATCAGCCTTGAGTTCCACAGTGTAATAGACTCATTCATCTCATTTAGAGAACCACAAAATGGCAGTTTATTTGAGCTAGATTTTGGTTCCAGTCTGAGTATTGAAATGGTTAAAACCAGTGCTTAGTTATTTTCCTGTGACCGGGTCAGGTCTGTGTTCTGTAGTATTTTGTAGTTTGTTATTTTGCTTTCCTGTTTGACCTATGTACACTCTCACACACAGCCCCAAAGAGGAACAGCACAGGACAACACTTTTAACACCTTATTTCAACCCTTACAACCCTAACAAATACTTTTTCGAGAGTTAAACTTAATAAGTGTATAATAATCTCTCACTAATGTGGCAGTAATGAGTAACTTTTACAGTACTTCACTGTAATTCCATCAGTTTAACGAAGGCCATGCTGTCTCACATTTGCCGTCTTCCCAGCGCTGTGGGGAAATGAATGGTTTATATTTTCTCATTTTCAGTTTAGCCAGATTAATCAGTGTGAGTGACTGGAAAGCAAACACAGAGGCTGCTCTCGGTGGGGACGCTGGTGTTGGGGAAAGCAGTCTACCTCAGCTGACTTCCACAGAGCAGCAGTGAGGGGGTATCAAACTGCCCGGCTTTAAACAGTTTATCTGAGTGGAGAGGAGCCCATCCCAGACAGATTACTCCTGTACTAATATTTAAAAGTAACACTTACGCTCTGTGCTGACGCGTGCTTTCAGCGCTGTCAGTGGCAGACGAACGAGCTACGCGGGTGTGTGTGATATTGTTTGGGATTGGGAGCCTCTCTCTTAAACAACATGGAGTGTGTGATTACACGTTTGAGTGAGACTGAGTGAATGAGTCGGTGTGTGCATGCATGTTTGTCATCATTTCCTTTGAAGCCCTTTGTTTGTAGGGGCCCAAGCACTGGAACACTATTGCTATTGTTTTCTTATTATTCTGTCTTTCTTTTTTTTACAGGCAGTCGGGAGGCAGCTTTTGTGTATGCAATCTCCTCTGCAGGCGTGGTGTACGCCATCACCCGTGCCTGCAGCCAAGGTGAGCTGAAGACGTGCAACTGTGACCCCCACAAGCGTGGTAAAGCGCGGGACGAGCGAGGCGAGTTCGACTGGGGTGGCTGCAGTGACAACATCAACTATGGGATAAAGTTCGCCAAAGCCTTTATAGACGCGAAAGAGCGGACGGTAAAGGATGCACGAGCGTTAGTGAACCTTCATAACAATCGCTGTGGAAGAATGGTGAGCAATCAGTTGCAACTTTCTGATGGTTTAAGCATGTTCAAAACACTTCTTACTGGAAAAAGAAATTATCTGTTCATGTCAATGCCAAACTTCACACATCAACCAGCCAGATGTGATCTTGTAACAAGAACGTCTGGAGACAGCCATGAGAAATTTCGGGCTAGAAAAGTGGGTAGGAATGTAGACAAATTATTTTCTTCTTAGAAATTTCTGATTTCTAAGTGTGTAATTTCTAAAGGTGGAGCTCAAAGTAACAATAAGACTGTAGTGACATAAGTTAGCATTGCTGTAAAGACTCTCCAAAAACTTAAGTTAAGCATATGGATATATGTCCCATGAGCATATACGTTACATGTGGTACAAATAAACTTCTTGAAAAGGCTAACTGTTCGATTAGCTAGCTTGCTTTGCTAATTTGGGGATAGATGCTGATCTTGTTTGTGGTGGATTTCGCCACAATCCAGCACCAAAAGTTTAATAAGTTGTCCCCAGACTTGTATTCTCATAACAAGCTTATATACTCTCTGCAAGAGCTGCAGTAGGGTATGTCCAAGGAGTATTTGTAGTTATTGGGCCATTACAATTATTGCTCATTACCACTTTATTTTCAGAATGACCAATACACTATGACTGATTTTGATTGGTTTTAAAGCTGCACTATGTAATACTTTGGGGATTTGGAGACCTCTCTGGTGGAAATGTGTAATTGCATGCAACATACAGAAGAACATTCTGTAATGTCAGTTATGCTTTGAACACCCACCTCCCAAGTGCATGAATCTGATGATTCAAGTGTTTAAAGAGTATTCAAAGAGAAACTTTGTAAAGCACTTGTTTTCCGAGAATGTGAGTGAATTTAAATAATAAAGGTATCAGAAGTATTGGAAAATGGGTGAGTATAGCAAGTTTTTTGAAACTTTAACCCCTTGAAATCCCAGGATAATTACATACTAAGACTTATTGTTCAGTGACTGCAGGGACTTTAAAGCAAACTGGCCAAGTTCTTCTTAGGTTATAGAAGTGTATAATAAAATGGGCCCATGGCCATTTAAGGAGTTAAACACCATAGTTCTCACATGTCCTCCCCTCATTTCAAAATCCAGGGTTTGGCAGGAAGCTTGAGGTTGCAAATTGCTAAATATCTTGCTGCCCAACTGTCCTATTCTGGGTGATAGAAACACAACTGAGGTGATTGCTTTATAAAGTGTTCCCCAGCTTCTGAAACCAAAACTAGGCCCGTGTTCAAATGGACCAGTTAAATGCCAGATTTGCAGAAAACTGTTTATTTTGACATAAAAACACTGTTACAGTATGTTTAAAGTAGCACTTTGACTCAGTGAGGCTGACTGTAACATCAATGACTTCATCAGCATAGGCTATGAATAATAGTAGCAGTTAGTAAACATCTAATACCTGTTTTCTCCTGTCTGTTTGCACCAGTCAGTGAAGCGCTTCATGAAGCTGGAGTGTAAGTGTCATGGCGTCAGTGGCTCCTGCACGTTGAGGACTTGCTGGTTGGCGATGTCTGACTTCCGGAAGACTGGCGATTACCTCCGCAAAAAATACAACGGTGCCATCGAAGTCACTGTCAACCAGGATGGAACAGGATTCACTGTGGCTAACAAGGACTTCAGGAACGCCACCAAAAATGACCTGGTGTACTTTGAGAACTCGCCTGACTATTGTTTAATGGACAAAGCTGCAGGTAGGAGATGATAACTGATGATGCATGTTTGTATTAAGTCTTAGCGTTGGAAATTTTATTTGCATCAGTGCTGGTTTTCTCAGGTTACATGCAAATACAAGGAATTCTTTTCCAGAATTTCTTTATATGACACTGGGTTCCAACGAAATTTAGTTCTAAGTAGTTTTGTATTTGAAAGGAACTAAATGGACAAACCGGGTCCAGTTTTTATAATACACAAGTGAGGGTATGAAACTGGTGGGAGAGGATAGTGCTAAGTACTTTCACAGACATTAACTGGGTAACTTGCTTTTGAATGCAGTGTTGAACATATAATTTCATATTTGATTGATTGCAGATTTACTTGCGTGCAATACTGACACAGTTGGAAGAAGCAGATACCGTTAGACGTAGCTTAGCTGCTTTCCCAGTGCATCTCGAACCACCTCCTGAAGTGGTTTAATCCTTCTGCAACACTGGGCTTTTTTTACAAATAGATATTAGATAGACATCTGATCAATCCAAGACATATGACTAAGTGACAAGACAGTGACTAAGTGTTAAACGGCTCATAGTGAGAGCCCATGGCTGCTGTATACCACCACGTCAGTGGACTGTAGACAGCAATAGGCTTGCCATCTCATGTGCCTAAAGCCAGTCTGATTAATCTAAAGTAAGTAAAGTATGCATGAGAAAGCTGCTGAGTGTGAGACAGGTGGGATTTGCTGGCGGCAGTAAGCCGATTCTCACACCTGCCCCTGCTCAGGCCCCTGCCATGCGGACCCTGGGGCAACAGGGGCAGTAAGTGCTTTGAAAGGGTCAGAAGAGGTGGAGCATGATGTTTCTGCCTGGTTAATCCCTGACAGTCTCACACCGTGACCCCGCTGTCCGCAGGCACTGCACTGAGACACACATCTACAGCCGACACTCATCTATCTGCCTACGCTACTTCACACACACCACTGCCTGACACACACACACACGCTACCACATGAACATCTCTCTGACCCCCTTGGTGGTAAGAACAATGTGACCATCTCTAAAGACAGAAGGGGGTTGTCTATCTAATCAAACCACCACAATTTGGTGTAGGACCCAGCCATGTGATCAAAAAATATGCCTGATGCCTGATTATGTTGCCTAATAGCCTGATGCAAGAAACGAAATATTCACCTTATAATAACTGAGACTACAAAAGCAGTAATCAGATCTGTCAATGTGGGAAAATGGGCCAATACAATGTGTAATATTGATCTCCAGTGATACAAATATTGTTGTTACCTGGTAGCTATGTAACCAAGTCGTTGACCCAAATTGTTAAACACCATCTTACTCTACCTCCTAAAGTTACACATTGATTTTCAGACTTTGGGACACATATAGTTCAAAACAATGAGATCTAGCTGCTCACCACGTGGCTATGAGGGACAGAGGTGTAGTCTCACTTCCTGTTCTAAAGGGGTGTGGCTAAATTAAGGTTTCACCCATGGACTAAAACTGATGATGATTTTATTTATATTCAGCTTATTACAATCTCAATTAATGCCTCAGGTTTGAATCTTGGGAGATCATATACAGTCACTAAATATATATGGTCTACATATGTATACATGTTCTTTTTTTTACTGTGGGACTGCAGTTTGAACTAATTTGGTCCATATATACTGCATTATGTCTAATATAGCTAGTACAAATATTGCATTGCGTCTAATAAAGCTAATAAGTAATGGGATCACAGATATTTGGATTTGAAAGAGTTATTTATTCTTTCTGCATGTCTGCATTGCAAGTTTGTGACTCAAATGTTTTGGTGATTTCCACTGAAATTAATGTAATTTTACTCACAAATTTTCACTGTCAAAGCATCAATGTAACTTGGCCTTAAGGCTAACATGGGTAACCCTCTGTAACTAAACTTAAAGATCTATCAGCAATTGCTCCAGCCAGTTTATCATTAGTCCAGTTTATTGTTACTGAGGCTTTTAAACAGAGAATTTTCACACAAGAACTCCATAGGACCACAGAAACTAATATCATGTTGCTTTTGCAGTCCCGTTAGTTATCTCAGAGCTGGTCGTGGGGTGATTGTGTCACTGTTTTTCAGCAAACTGCCGAAACATATTAGCCTAGCACCTGAGCTGGGGACGCAGGTGTGAGAGACGCTGCATGTGTGGCGGGGTTGCGCTGAGCTGGGGTTGTGTTACTGTTGTGGATAATGGCCACTGGAGCAGTGGAGCATGACTCATGTCAGAGTGTGTGTTTCGTCTGGGTTGTGTTTGGTTTGGGTTTGTATCTGACTCAGACAGACAGCTTACAGCTCAGTGATTTCAGTGGGTCAGCGCGCCCTCACTCTCCCCCCCTCCACCACTCCTGGTGGTATTTGCACCCCAAGGATACAACAGGCTCATTTTTCAAAAGCCATTCTCTCTTCCTGCCAACATGGCTCTCCAACTGATGTGAGCACGGCCGCAGGGCAGGGGTTGAGACGCCAGTGTCACCGATTCTTTCAGAGCAGGAGCCTCGCTGCCCTGAGCCTGTTTAACCCTGGAACACAACAACATGCACCAAGCATAACCCTCCATTCCAGTGTTAGTCTAAGGGATTAAGTTATTAACAACAGACAAGTACTGTACTAAATTTTAATCTTTTGAGATATTTACAGTGCAGTGCAAAAGTCAGACACCATGCTTCATTTATTTAAATTCTAATCAAAACAGCATTCATTTTTCCAGAGATATTTCTGAGGAAGTTAGATATAAGATAATTCACTTGCATAAGGAGGGGAAAGTCAAAGAAAAATAAGTGGAACAAAAAGTTTCCAAGAAAAAAGAGTTTCCAAAACTGGAGTTAAAAAAAATGATTTAATAACACAGAGAAAATGGGACTCTTATAACCATGCAAGATCTGGTAGACCACCAAAACTGTCACCATCAGATAAACAGGGCTTAAAGCTTTCATCTTTGAGAGAGAGGAGAAAATCAAGCTCTACTCTTTCTTCAGATCTGAAAGAATCCACAGGTGTTTCTGTCTATTCTTCTACTGTGAGAAGACAGCTCAACATTGTGGGTCTGAAAGGATGTGTAGCTGTCAAGAAGCTGTTACTGAGAAGAGAAATAGCTGAAAAAGAAGAAAATTTGCAAACCAAATGACCAAAACCAGAACACTGGACTGACCATCCCAGAGTCCAGACCTCAACATCATTTAATGTGTTTGGGATTACTTGGATTGTGAGAAGAAGAAAATGTAACCAAGTTCTAAGACTGAACTTTGGAGATGCTCGAAAAATCCTTGCAGATTTTTTTTGAAACCCTAAGGCAAGTCTCCCAAAAAGAATGGAAGCAAGTGGAAGCTAAAGGCTTTTGTGTAATTTTCTGTTAAATATGTTTTCTTCTTTTTTTCTTTATTCTGAAAAATGAACAATGAATGCACTTAAAGGCTGCTTTGACTGCAAATGAAATACTTTTACTTGTTGCTTTTACTAATGTTACTCTTACTTGTAATACACACACACTGCAAATTTATGTGCAGCTAGTGTAATCATGTGTTGAGGAAAGGCCTTATTGCTGTAAGTTATGGATGATGTCCATTTATATCACCTCTAAAGAGAGTCCATTGAGGTAAAAATACCTTCAAAGGGCCCAATTCCTTCATTTGTCCTGTTTTTTGTTTTCCTGTGAGGTCCATATATGATGTTTTGTGTGATTTTATGTGCCAAAAACAGTCATAATTCATTTTACGTGACCATTTTCCAACCTCTGTTGATAGTATGAAATGAATCAGGCTGTTTCAGTATGCCTTTAAGACTGATATATGTAAATGGGCTCTGTTTCGATTGGCTGCCCTGTGTGGAGTCTCATTCTAAAAATGGTTAGAGCTGAAACACTCCATATAACTTCAGTGTACACGTCAGTGGGTGGGGCTAAACTGCAGTAGGCTGAATGGGTGAATATGTAAATGCGTTGATTTTCATGACATAACAAAAACTGTGAATTCAAATTGTGCTGTTTTTGCAGTTTAAATTCCATATGGACTGTACAGACTGAGGAGTGAATGATATGTTTTGAAAGAGAGTTCATGTACTACATTTAAATTAAGTCAAGATAATTTGGTTTTCCATTATAAAGACCCTTTAGCAAATAATCTGGCTTAATATGGCTGGCTAGAATATGCCATTAATAGCCTGCTTAATGCTTTCTTAAGAAAAAACTTGCAAAGGTTCTTAAGACTAACACTAAGAAGTTCATAAGAATGTTCTTAAATGCAATTCTTGAAAAAAACTTACGTTCTCAAATATTATCTTAAGATGATCTTAACTATTTTCTTAAGATTGTGTTCCTATGTATGCTACATTGCATTTAACAATGTGCCATAAACAACGAGAGATACAATTTGAATTTGTATTAACTGTTACTTCCGTTATTTATTTTAAGGAGGACAGCAAAATGGAGGAAAAACATCAAACCAAGTGTTTAAAACAGCAACTAGATGTAATGGTGGAAGAAATAGCCAGCAGGAAAAAAAATCTATTTGGAAAATATGATAATTAGGGGGTGTTGGACGAGGATGAACAGGAGGAGCAGCAGAGGCAGTTTCCATGATAAATTTAGAGGCCTTCCTTGTCAACTCTTACAGTATGAGGCTATCGTAAGGTTAAGAACATGATGTTTTCAAGAATACCACTTGTTCTTAGAATTATCTGAAGAAAATGGTTAAGAAAGAAAATAAGATCATTCTTGAGAGGTTATTTAAAGAATAAAAATTTCTCGTAACTTTCTTAAGAATGAAGTTAAAAAAAAACACACAATCAAGAAGATTTTCTTTCTTAAGACACTTTCGTAAATCCAGCCCCCGATTATTGGAAAATCCTTCGAACATGTGCTTTGAATGAGTTTAAGGTCTTACACTGTTCTAAAAAACAGATTTTGTCTGTTGCTCATGTATGTTGAGTACTAAGCGACTTCTCCATTTCTCTTTAAGGTTCGTTGGGCACGGCTGGTCGCGTCTGTAACAAATCATCTCGAGGGACAGATGGATGTGAGGTGATGTGCTGTGGGCGAGGCTACGATACGACGCGCGTGAAACGCATCACAAAGTGCGAGTGTAAGTTTAAGTGGTGCTGTGCGGTCGAATGTAAGGATTGCGAAGAGGCGGTCGACATACACACCTGCAAAGCCCCGAAACGAGCTGAATGGCTGGACCAGACCTGAGGCCTGACCACCAGGTGCCTCGTCAAATCCTCTTCCTGAAGATCTCCTGTGAACAATGGCATTCTGGGATATGAAGTCCATCCCTTGTGACTCCTCTCCCTGATCCCTATTCCTTGTTGCATGGCTTTATTGTAACTGTCTCTGTGAAAGCACTACAACTAAAAAAAAAGAAAAAAAACTGCATTTCCCATGAGCGCCTTGCACACTATGCCCAAGCCGGCACGTTCCTCTGCCTTCCTATTGCTCTTCATTTTTGGCAAAGAACTGACAAGAGGACACTAAAGTGTAAAGAATGAACTGTGTTGCAACTGTGAACTTTTTGTAGGTGGTTTATGTTGGTTTTTTTGTGAATTTACAAGAGATATTTTGTTCTATGAGTGATGTTTTTGTGCTGCTTTTAAAGTGCTTTAAAGACTTTAAAACAACTCTCAGCCTTTCTACAATATCATGGCTAGAAGCAGAATATTCACACTTGTTATTGTAAACTGTGTACACCTAGGAGGTTGTCTTGCTTCGACTGGTGATAAAGTGAACCCCTGAGAATGGAACCAGCAGCATAAAGACACAAATGGCTGACAGCTTTGCACACTTTCCACCCCATGGTCAGTTTGGACGGAAAACCTCGAAGGATTCTGCGGACAGAGAACAAGAGAAACAATGAGGTCTATATGTGATGATGAGCCTGCACTAAGAACATTAGCTAACCTCTGAGCAAAAACCTTAATATCACTGCATAACTAACAATAACAGGAAATGCATTCTTTGTATGAGCATAAACACAACATACCTGCTAAAATACAGCGATACAAAATGAAAGTACTCACTTAATGACTGATGGTGTTGCTGTCATCTGGGATTGTGGTATCAGATAGATGCTGATGCTCTTTGGCTCTTCTGTATAACTTGTGTATACTGCCTTGGTATTTTTAAACTGAAATTCACATAAAAATATTGAATATTCCATTTAATTTCATTCATTTGAACTCATCTATTACGCTGTGTGCTTCCGACGGAATGTATTGTTGCTGTCATATCAAAACCTGGTATTTTCATTTCATCATTTAAAAAAGCTGCTTTATTTTGTATGAAAGGAATGATAAAAATGGTCTAAAATCATTTGGAATAAAATCATGTTACATTAATGTACATTAAAGTTAAGAATTCTTTTTCCTTCTCTTATAAAATTTTCATTTCAGATATACAAGATTTGGGTATGACAGTGACGATGGTAACACTTTATTTAAACTATGCGGCATAGTCATTCCGTAAACGTGTCATTTAAGATTTTATATGCTGTCATGACAGATTATGTTCAGTAATATAGCAGTGCCAGTATTTGTCATGTCAGATGTCATATGTTATGATGGCTACTTAGCAAAAATTACTTACAAAATCTGTCATGACACCATATGACATCAGCCATTACATGTTTATGGTGTATTTATGTCATACGTTATGTAGCAGAACTGAAGTAAAATATTACCATGACTAAGCAAAACAAGCTCAGGTTTGATTTACCATAATGTAAGGATGTAACAATTTCAATATGAATCAAAAACTTAATTTGAAACAGTGTATCAAAAGTTAAAACTGTATTTCCCATACATTTCTTTTGAGGGTCTCTACCTGTATGACGATCACTCAATCAGCAATCAAAATATACATCTAGGCACATTTTGTCAGATTAAAGTGGATGAATAGGGGGCGGAGCTTATGCACACATCAATTCTCAAATGACTGGGCTTTTAATATACGTCAGTTCTAAACCCTAAAGGTTGTGATTTTTTGGTTTATTTTGTTAGAGGCCAGCAGGAATTGAAAAAGTTCTGAGAACTTTATTTATTAATCGATCTGTGTAGTGAAGAATCAGAGCTCTGTAGAGTCATTTTTAATGAATTTAATTTTAACATACAAATTTAATCTTGACCTCAAAACTGAAAATTGTGCTGAATCTGAAAATACGAGCATCATTACACATTTGGGGGGTTCACACTGGTTACGTTTTTTGCAGACAGAGGTGCCATTTTTCAGTCATTGATCACCCTGAACTGTATGATTTCATGCATCACATTTAGCACTATATGAATAAAAATAAAAAATCATTAGCAAAATAATTGTGCAGAGCCCCTAAAGGGGGCATGGTTAAATTTTGTATCATTTTGTGTTCCCTTACAATAATTGTGCGTTTCCTAGCAAATATTTTGCATTCCCTTGCAATAATTGCAAAAGTTTTGTGTTCCCTCACAATGTTTTGCATTCCATCTTGATAATTGCAAAAGTTTTCTGTTCTCTTGCAATAATTGTGTGCCCTCGCAATAATTGCAAAAGTTTTGCATTCACTCACAATAATTGTGCATTCCTTTGCAAATGTTTTGCATTCCCTTGCAAATGCTGTGGATTTTGTGTGGGAAATTAAAAATTTGGCAAGGGAATGCAAACGTTTTGCAAGAAAACACAATGACTTTGCAAATATATATAGATAGATATATATACATTTTTTGCAAAGGCAATTTAGGGGCTCCGTACACTTTACAGTTAATATATTACTTTCTAGAAAAACAAGTGACAGAACTCTCTGCCTCTACATACCTAAAGGACAACTAGCTAGCTAACACAGCTGATAATTATGAGCACTACTGTCGCTTAGCAATAGGAAGATGTGCAGCCAGAAGCTACCTTCAAAAAAAGCACTGTGAACCTCACTGTGAATCTTAAGGTGCATGCACACATAACATATGAACACCCTTATCATAATGAAAGGTGATTTAGAGCAGAAAGTTCAGCTGAACTATTACCAAGGGTCCATATGAAGAAAGCTTAATAGGAATGAGTTATTGCAGGGCTTGTAAGGAAGTAGCTTGGTATCTGGTGGAATGGCCTTGCGCTCATTGTTTCTGGACTGAAGTAATGACGGAGATCACAGGCTTTCACCCTAGGCTGAGGACACTCCTGATTGGCCAATATCCAGCTGATTATCTTAATGACAGGGCCGTAGTGACAGTCAGGAATGCTCGTATGACAGTAGAACTTGTGTCTGCTCGTGTTTTCTCAGGTTTTTCAAAGCCAAGCTTATCAAAGCGCATAGTTTCCAGCAATCCTCCCTATCTTTCCCCTTATTAGCCATAATGCCCTGTTCTTGGAAGAAGTGCCCTTAATGAAAAAAGCTTACTAAACAACCTAGGCCTACATGGATCGCATGCCTTGGAGGAAAGCAGTCTTGCAGTCTTTATGTATCTGTATATTAAATATAATTTGTTATATTACAACACACACACACAGTTCCAACGTGGCAAAACACACTGGAGTGTGTGCCTGTGTCCGTAACAGTACTTTAACAAATTTGTCAATATAATCCTCAATAAGTGAAGACCACAGTTTGGTTGACTTAATGGTCGACTTAAAGGCCCATTTTCTCGCTTTCTTGAAATACAACAGTTCAATGTAATATACAAATGTTAAAGTTTAAAGTGTACCATTTGTACCAGTCCCCAGTCCATACATGGATATGGAGCTGCAAAAATGGTCCATTTTAAATTGATTGTTTTTTATGATGTCATAAAAAAGAATCCTTATACGTTTACATATAAAACATAGCTTATTTACATGTATCAGTCTTAAAGGCACAGTAAAAAAAAATTATATTCTTAATTCTGAGAATAAAGAGAAAAGGTCAACGAAAAATGAAGAATACTATAAAACTACACAAATTTATAATTGGATACAGGCCATTTAAAAGAATCTGCTACATCTGAAGCAGGTATCTGATTACCAGGAACAATATGTTTCACTACAGTTCACTTCGAATAGAACAGATACAAACCATTTTTAATAGAAGCGAATGGGTACCTACTGAAGCACTTGCCCATTGGCTTCTATTATATGCGTGCTTTGAGAGAACCGCTTGTAGGAAAGTGCATCAAAAATGATTGTCTATGCTACTACCAGATGCTATAGATACAGCAGATAGACACTGGGTTGAAAAAAGCTGGAGTACTCCTTTAACATGATCATCTGTGTTCAGATCTGAACAAGTGAACTTTGGCTTGCTTTAGCCAAATAATGCTATGCTGGGAGTCAGTACTGTCAAAGTGGTGTTGGGCAGTATGGGAAATGTAGTCTCCAGCAGCTGCTGATGTCCCAGGTGTGTATTGCTTAAGTGAGAGAGTAGTTGCTTTCCGTCAGCACGCCCTCTCTGCCCTGTAATGCGCTACAATGCTCCATGTAATGTGAAGTGATGGTGTACGTCTCCCGCAGCAATGAGGTCACTGTTCCTCTGCCTGGAAGCGTTCATACACTGCAGCCCTGCGCGAAATGTGGCCTACATTATCCAAGAATGTGTTTCTCTAAGGTGCAGCTTCAGGGAGTTTTTGCACAGGAGAGTTTGTTCAGAACTGTGTGAGACGTCAAGCATACGGGCTTCTAGAGTAATATGCGTTTTAGTTTATTATTTTATTTCTCTTTCACATTGACGTCAATGCCTGTAGACATGACACATAACACATAAAGTGCAACCATTAGCGTCAGTGAAATTCAGTCACTGTGAGTCAAACCTCAAACCCAGCAGCTTTCTGCACACTCACTGCTTTCACTGTGTTCACCATGGCCTGTTTTTCATCTTGCCATTACTGCCTGTCCTAGCAGGGTGGTGCAGTTTTGGTCTCAGATGGGAGCAGATGGCAGCAGTATGTTAGCAGAGCCTGCAGGGGGCACCTGTGGTGACCAGTTTAATTTCTGTGGGAGCCAGTCTGACATATTTCTTAATGTTTGTAGCCTCACTCTGTGAAACACATGAGCAGGGAAATGTGTCTTTAACGTTATTTTCTTGCTATTACCTTCAGAATTCTGTACTTACTTACAATCCAATGAACAAAGCATCATGTTGATATGTAAATATTAACAAATACTTAGCTTGAACCCACAAAAAAGAGTGGAGGAGGAAATGATTTCCTGTGATCTCAATTCTGTTATTAACATTAGAGCAGTACAGTCCTGTTTTGGGAATTTGAAGATTGAAAAGGAGACAATGCTCATAGTATGCCACTTCAGCCAAGACTGATCCAATTTTAAAGCTCTTCCAAGCCATGGATTTCCGTGGATTTCTCTTCTGAACTTTATGCGAAGTTCATTCTCATCATCACTCAGGCAACGTAACTCTATCCTTTTGTCATCTGACTATTAGATTTTCTTTGTTTTTTGCAGAAAGGAAACTATTTATGACACTGGCTATTTATGAAACCCATAGAATCAACAGTGCTCAGAGAAGTTAATTTACAGTTTGCTAGCATTACCAAGGATTGTCATGATTTCACTTGCTAGTGATGAAGTAGGCTGTTTATTTCAGTATTTAGATTGTGGTTGCTTTAAACCTAGCTACAAAATATAAGCATCAAGAGAGGGCTACAATATCTGATGACATACCATTACATTCACTTATTCAAAGAGACACTTCAGCTATCCAAGTACTCTTCAAATATTTCTTTGTATGGCACTGGTGTTTTGCCAGGGCTGGTATCAAGCTCCTGTGTCTCTTTTGTCCAGGGGAATAGTGAAATTACAAGCCTGTAAACACTTGCCATTGATTTCATACAGATTTGCGCCTGAAAGAGTAGTCGAGTGGCGTTGTCGAGTGGCGTTGGGAAGGGCCTTATAAAATGACACAGACTTTGGGGAGGGTATCATGATAATAACACTGACAAGCCCTCCGCTCCGTCCTGCAGTTTTCAGCTAAAGTGTAATAAAATAAATTATTAAAAAATCTAAACAATATATACATTAAGGAGGTAGATAGGTTTCAATTCATGTTTTTTTAAAATGTATTTTAAAATAAAAATGTATAAAAGAAAATAGAATTTGATAAATTAAGCACAGAAATATATTTGCTATCTCTTTGGGTGAGGGGGTGGGTTTAAGGAAACTTTCTGGCAGGCCTAATCAAATGTTCTCATGGGCCAACTTTAGCCTTCAGTTCACACTTTGAGCTCCTGTTAAAGAATCAATTTAGAATCAGCCATAGCTCTGTTTATCATGCTGGACACATACACAGCTTTCTATAAACTAATCTATGAGTTTGTAGACTACTTGAATCCTTTTTGAATTATTTTATACATTTGGTTTTAGAATACTGAGAACAATGATTTCAGTTTTTCGAATGGTAATTCCAAACTTTAGAACAGTAATGTTTTGTTACACGACTGGACCAGTGCAGAGAGAATTGTGTCTGCAGGGCAAGAAACTTCCAGCATGACTGACTGTGTCGTAACGATCTGGAGTGCAGTGTGAGGTGGAACCCAGGATCAGGGCTGAGGGCTGGGCGACCTGTCTCAGGACAGGGCAGGTGTGCTGTGGGTCATGTCAGGACACAGTCCAGAAGCCTTGAGGCCAGGATTGAGTGGTGCAGTGAATGAAGATGTCTTCTGCTGTTCCACTATATAAAAAAGTAGAAGACACTCATGTATAATGAAAATATCGCACTCCTGAGGTCTACGGCTGGATGTCAAAGGAGAAGAGAAGAGAAGAGAAGAGAAGAGAAGAGTGGATGGGATGGAGAGACTGAATGCAGGAGAGGAATTGAGAGAAGATGAAATAAGAAAATAATAGGAGGGAAGGAAAACGGCTTGTCTGGGTGGAGAGAGAAAGACAGAGAGAGAGAGAGAGAGAGAGAGAGAGAGAGAGAGAGAGAGAGAGAGAGAGAGAGAGAGAGA